GATTTGGGGTACGTTGATTCTGTGTCAGTGGAGGAAATTGGCGGTGTTAGGGTATGATCAAGCTGCTTTTGGTTTTAATTTTGTTGGGCTTTTTCCTTGTGTTTCTTCATCTTCTTCTCCCCCAACATGATCTTTATATCTAATAAATAATAGGTCACCATTGTGAGAAATGAAGATGGTGGAAACTCCGTATGCACTGTGGTCCTACGAGGAAGTACCGATAGTATATTGGATGACCTTGAAAGAGCAGTGGATGATGGTGTGAATACATACAAGGTAATTCTATCTATAACACATCTATGATACTTATTTTAGGTAGGTCATCTTTTACCTGTCATTTTTATTTGAATCTATCCTTCACTTCATAAAAAGTGTTGCATATTGATTTTTTTTTTAAATAAGTGTTGCATCGGTTTCTACTGAACCTTAAGGAGCTAATCTGAATGTGGCTTTATGCATCTTTGTGCCAGGCAATGTGCAGGGACAGCCGTATGGTACCTGGAGCTGCAGCTACTGAAATTGAGTTGGCTAGAAGACTGAAGGAGTTTTCTTTCAAGGAAACATGGTACATAGTTTCCTCTCTCTCCATAGATAGATAGATATGAGATATGCCATGTTGAGATATATTTTATGATGTATATATTGTGATATGATGCATGGTTGAGAATGTTTGTGATGCTCATGGGAGTGCCTAATTTAATGTACTCATGTGCTTCAAGGTTGGGTGAATTGTCTATGTATCTTTTTTGCATGTCCAACATGCTACATCACTGTTTTTGGAGATCTGTGTAACACTATGGCAGATGATGACAGTATCCTGGGGAGGTTCCAGAGAAGAAGCTTGAATTCTGTTTTGATCATGTTTGTCAAAATTGTGCTTCTTCTTAGTTGTTACTCATCTTACAGCAGGCTTATTCAGCACATATTAGAGTCATTTCCACCCCCATTTATCATTTGAGACAATTGTTTTACACATTCTAAGATCATGGTTGTTAAATTCAGGATCTTATGTTAGATTGGTAAGAGGGTCTCGTGCATAATATTCTGCTTTCTATTAAAAATAAGATAAGAATGCAAACAAGGATGATGTGTATTAAAAGATGACAACTCAAAAGCCCAGCATCTTACTTTAGGATATGTTGAGCAGGTTTGAAATGGGTTGGTTGTGTTTAGAAACCCAAGGTTGTTGCCCAGATTTTGGCCTTCACGCTTGAGCGGGTATTTTGACGCTCGAGTGGGCCCCTTGTTGTTGCTTATCCGCTCGAGCGGGCATTTTGACACTCGAGCGTGAATATTCATCTTCCAGTATTTCCTCTGCAGGTCATCGTACGCTCGAGTGGGCCCTTTCGATTTTGTTCATTCGCTCGAGCGGGGAGTCTATCTATATCTTATATATTATATTATAACATAAATAAATAAATAAATAAAAATTAGATATACAAACAAATAAAATTAATAAATTTGATTTTTATTTATTTAGTTAAAATCTTTCTTTTACATCTTAATATCCAATTTTTAGTTTTAAAAATCTTTAAAGTTTTTCTAAACTAATCTAATTTAAAAATATCTCCCACCATTATACTTCAAATCAATAAAATTCACATGTCTATCACATATACAACTCACATCATAACTTACCTAAATAATAAATAAATAACTAATAAAACAAATAAAAACCATAAATAAATTAATTTTTTTTTTAAAAAAAAGAGAGAAAAAAAAGAAAAGAAACCCACAACTCCATCTTAAAGTATTGTTTGGCATTGGTTACGGTAGCGAACTTTATTGTGTTAAAACTTTTTTAGTCTGTCTTTTTTAGCCTCGTTTGGTTTTTATTTTGGGGGTTTTTTTGACTTTTGTCTTTTTTAAATATAATGATTATGCATTGGATGTGACATTTTGTCTTATTGACTTATATAACCTATTTTGTCTTTTTGTACTTTTTTAGCCCCAAAATAAAAACCAAACGAGGACATAATAAATTGAAAAAAAATAAAACAAATAGAAATCACACAAAGTTAAATAATATAAGAATTTAAATATAGATATCAAAAAGATATGACAATATCTAAATTTGAATTATGATTTAGTAATATAATTATTTATTTGTTTTATGTATATTTATCAAAATTTTAAATCACGACAAATTAATTAATTTTCAAATATTATTTAAAGAATAATCTGATTAGTCATCCAAACTCCTACACTTCGCCAGGAGGAAGAGCTAGCAGATTGGGCTAAGCGAGGTCTGAGTTGTAAGAGGTAACATCTTACGATTCCATAAATTTATTTGTTTTTTAATTTTATTTTTTTCCTTGTGTGATTCTTTGCTTTTGGTCTTGATTTTGGTTTTAATAAAATTTATGTGTTTGTTTACAGATTTGCATCATGGTCAAGAATAATTATTGGTGATGATGGTGGTTGCAAGCGAAGTACCTAGGCCCATTCTATACCAAAGATTTTGATTGGATTTTATTTTCTTCAATGAAGACAATAAAATTAAAATAACAAAAAAATAGGTATCGAATTTTTTATTTTTTATTTTTTTCACTGGTGATACTTTTAACATATCCAAAATAAAATGAAATTTAAATTCAAACTCAAGTATGCGAGCCTCAAGTGAGATTGCTAGAAATTGATTTTATTATTTTTGCTTATTATATATAGATGTTGATGAGATTAAACTTGTATAAGTATCATTTAGTCTGTTTGGTTTCAATTTTTTGAATTTAATTTAATTTTTTTTTTAAATTTCACATTTTTTAAATTTTAAGCCATTTTTATTTTTTGTCTTTTTAGATGCATTTTACTTAGATGTATTCAAATAATAAAATATTTGTGAAAAATTATTTTAAAAATTAATAAATACACAAAAATATAAAAATGTACTGAATTTTTTTTTTATTTTATTTTTGATATTTACTGAATTTTTTAAAGATTTTTTTCACAAATATTATACTTTTTAAATGTATTTATGTTAGATGTATCTAAAAATTTAAACAAAAAAGGAAAAATTACCAATAAATCTCAATTTGGAAAATGTTAATCCATTTTGTCTTTTATTTTTTCTTATGTACCATTTGGTCCTATTTAATTAGCAAAGATTATTTCCTTTGATTTGACATGTGTGGAGTTTACATATTTATCCTTTTGTGGGATTTGGTGTGATTTCTTTTTATTGACGTATAGTAGTGTTGTTGAGGGTAATATTTTACATATTTACCATTTTGTGGAATTTGGTGTGATTTCTTTTTACTGATGTATAGTATTGTTGTTGAGGGCCGGTTTGGTAACACATACGACGTGACACTTTTACATGATGATCGATTACCAACATCCGCGTCATTCCCTGCTCGGACATAGTTTAGTAATTAACAAGTGTGGTGTGCAATTTAACATTTTCCATTCAATGATATCCACGAAATGTCCACGTAACAGTGTTCATGACAATGTTGACAAAACAACATTATGTATTAACCATCCAAAAAATATGAACCAACAAAATTATGCATCACTAAACTAACGTCACATTTTGTAAAATTCACCGAACATTTTTAGTATCAACCATCAAAAAATGTATCACAAAAACATATGTAACATTAAGTAATCTTCCAATGTTTCATCATTTTCTTCGAGTTCATTGCCACCAGTAAAGACTACAATCATGTAGTCATAATTTTTTTTCCCAAACAAAGTCTGCAAGCTATGAAGGGTAACTTCTTCTTCTTTCGAAAAACAGAACCTGACTAAGAAAACTACAATAACTGCATGAGCTATCCTTGGCCATTGATGAATTTGACAATTTCTTTTCCAATAAATTTAGACTCCGCAGAAAAATCAAATAATCCTATCATTTTTTGTTAAGTTGGCAGTTTGAACCAAACAACTCATTAACAGAAGAAAAAATGCTTACATTGCTAATTGATATAGATTTACCAGGAGTGTCAATGACATTAAGAATCTGGTCATTTGCCAATACAATTTTGTAGCTCACAAGTACTGGTAACACCAGCTAAGCTATTTCAGTGAACAAAATGTCAGCCCATACAACAACAATGTGGAATTCCAGTGAAACAAATTAGAACAAACGTCATCATGGACATTGGTAAACAACACACACCTTCGCCTTTCATTGTATTCGTCTGATATTGCTGCAACGTCGTGGTCAGTGTAAGCAGCGGATACGAAGCAGCCAAACCCTCGCCAGGGCAGAGTAATCGGATACTGTTGATGGTGGTTTGTCAATGAATAGGTTACTGCAATTAGGGTTCAAGCCGACAAGTCCAATGTGGAATTTGACGAAACAAGTTTTTCATGAACACACTAACAGGTGGGCTATCCGTGGCAATTGGAACTTCTGTGTTTGATGGAAGTAAGCTTGGGATTGAGCCATACTCTGTGGAGGTGTTGAAAATTCCAACGGGCAGCAAAGGCATGGGTGCCAGCCGACTGCCCGCCGGAAAAAAAAGGAATATAGGCCTAAATCTTATTGCTTTGATACCATATAAAAAAACTGATGTATTATTGATTGATGTATTGTTGATTTCCTGTCTATTACAAATGGTTCCTTATATAGATGTAGGTGTAGTGGATGGTGGTGGTAGGTGAGTGTAGTAGGTGAGTGTGTGGTAGGTGATGGTAAGTGTGTGGTAGGTGATGGTAAATTTTAACAGTATGGTAAAAAGCTTGTTGTTGTCAAAATATAGCATGGTATATATGGTATAAAAATCATTGTTTGCTTATATATAGTATATGTATCATCTTTTTGGTGTATAGTCTATTGGTTATGAACTTAGGGGGACTTTTAACTAGTATATTTGTCGGCTTTTTGTTTTTAAATTTTCATGCTAAAGTAATTTACATATATTAACTTCGTTATTGTGATCCAACCTTTTCTTACTTTTTTGATCATATTGTGTGTACCTGAAGTATTTGTCCAAAGTGTTTTGAAGCTGAGGCAAGGTTGGACTTGTCCTGGCCTTTAACACTAATATACCCTGCTTGAGTTGTTCTGAAAATACATGGCAGAAAATACTTATTCACAGTTACTTAGATGAGGGATTGGTATGCATGCCATGCTAAAATTTTGACTCATTTTATGTGATGCAAACTATTTTGCTGTTTACAGGTTTTTTGCTCTCAAATATGCTGCAGATGCTGCTTGCACTGTGCTGCGTGTAGATCAGGTAAGCCATTAACTACTGGTTTCATGGTTTATTTCTTCTGAGATACCACCTTTGAATTGACTATTGAATCCCTCATCTCTGGCTGTTCAATTCATCCTTAATGATTTCATTTTGAGGGGTGAAGTTTATAAATCAAGATGTGATGGGATTTATTTGGGCCGTTAAAAGGAACAAATCAAACTTGTTCAAATCAAAGGACTAAAGAATTCAGAGGCTCCTTGAACAAACTTGTTCAAATCACAATGCAGTAATAGGTCATCAACATAATACTGAATTGGTGGAGAGAGTAAATTCTCTTGAATGAACAATAGGTGAAGTACTGATCCCTAGTGGGAAGAAATATTTTTATTTTGTGATGGACAATGAGTTCAATGAACATGTATCATCAAAGACTACAGGATTGGAGTACGCAAAATATAGAGAAAAATACAAGGAATTTAAACTTGAGAATATTGTAGACACTTGTAAAATTTGTCCAATAATACATAAATCAAGGGGTCCATTTTGGCAAAAACGGCTGTTACGTATATTTTGGCTTTTGGGAGGGGAGACCAAGTAAGAGAACTAAAGAGAAGTGAATAATGAACTTTAGACCAAGTAAGAGAACTAAAGAGAAATGAATCATGAACTTTAAAACATGTAGTTAATGAATATGCATGACAGGAGATGACAAAAAATTTAAGCGGAAATGTAGAAATTTAATGTATAAAGAGAAATAGAGAATTGTATTATTGATTGATATAATGTTATATTTATTACAATGATTCATGATTCCTATATATAGAAGAGGGTGAGTGTGTAGTAGGTAAGGAGTAGGTGAAGTGGAGGTGGTAGTGGTGTAGTGGGTTAGGAAATTTAAGCGGAAATTACAAGACAGTAGGAAATGGGGAAATATTTACCAAAAGATGGGGGGTGCACCTTTTGCTGTGGTTTTGTTGCACAGAAAAAGTTGCAGCCCCATGTGTTTGTAATTATTTTTGGTTTTTTACACTGAATTGTATTTTCCCAAAAATTTAATTAGGTGCGTCACACTGAAAGACACATCAGTCAAAACAATATTTGAAAAACTTAAATCAACTGCTGAAAATGATTTGGGCATTGTGGTAAAATCTCCATTAGCGTGAGATGCCAGTGCCATAACAAATTTACCTGTGTGATCCACTAGAGTGTTGAGAGGAAATTGGTTGAAATGTGGATTTGATGCTTGGGTTAAAAAGCAGAACTGTTGTTTCCAAAACTTTTTTTTATTTTGTTTGTTCTGGTGGGGAGGGGAATTTGGTTTGACAGACCAAAATCAAAAGGCTACTTAGAGATGTCACCAAATACGGAAATGATTTGTCCAGTGATTTTTAGTCTATCTATTGGAGCTTATTGTTTTTGCAATATTTTTTTTTTATCTTTTGGAAGTGTAGTGTCAACCCATGCAGTCCACCCGGTGTCATTTCTTTTATTAAATCATCCCTTGACTTGTATATACTGCAGATTATAATGGCAAAACCAGCTGGTGGCCCAAGGAGGGAGCAGCCTGCTGCGGGGATGGATGAGGACTATGGTTTTGTATGAGCTTGGGGCAAGTGACTGTAATGACCATGCTTGGGCTATGCTTTTGTTCCTTTTGCATGCCAAAGACACAGCCTAAGAAATTTTTGTTTTAAAATGGCATAGATGGTGTTCTTTCTTGTATAATTTATTTGTATTTTATTTTATTTTTTTGTGGAAAAAAAAATTGAAGTTTGTTTTTGGGGTGATCCTAATTTTTCTTGCATTAGTGCTGTGGTGCTGAACTTAAAACTGATACCAGGGATACCACTTGGCATTTAGCATTTAAATTGTTTGGTTGAAATCTTAGAGCCTGATTTCCAATTACTGTCTGGGGGCAGATTTTATTTTTTCAATTTATTTATTATTTTTTTTCCATTCAGTGGGTGAATTTCTCTCTTCAAAATAGAAATTGTAACGACTATTAGTATTGTTTGTGTACTCTCTAACTATTAGCACTGTTTCAACGCATAATTTTCAGGTATCAACTTCACAGATGTTGACTAAGGGCCCAAGTAACATTGAAACAAATGGCATGGGGAAAAAGAAAACAGGCATGCATTTAATCTTTTTCATAGGCATTTCCTCGATCAATTGATAAGCATTGGCCTAACAGCATCATCCAATATCCACTCGCCATCACACATTACTATGGTGCACCCATTTTGCTGAAGCACTAGTATTACTGGTATGAATCAGTATTGCCTTTTTTTTTTTTTTTTTTCTCGTGTTTTTTGTTTTATTTTTAGTGAATATTTTTAAAATTTTAAATATTTTTTAGATGTACTTTACCTAGATGTATCTAAAAAGTAAAATATTTGTAAAAAAATATTTTAAAAAATTAATAAATACACAAAAATATGAAAAATATATTGAATTTTCGTTTTTTTTTTATTTTTTATTTTTTGTTTTTTAGCGAATTTTTCAAAGTTTTTTTTTATGAAAATTATACTTTTTAAGTGTATTTATGTTAGGTGTATTTAAAAATTAGAAAAAAAAATTGTTTAAAATATTAAAAAAATATGATAAATTACAAATACACTTCTTGATATTTGTTTAAAATACGAATTGTCTCTGTGGTTTGTGAAATTACAAATACCTCCTTGTTAGATTTTTTTTTAAATCATAATTAATTGAAAAAGTGAAAATTTTAACTGTTCACATATACAATAATAAAATTATCTAAATTATTAATTGAAATAAAATTTTAACATTATTAAAAATTATTAATTAATTTGATGATTTATTAATAAAAATACATATTTGTTATGAAATTAAAAAACTTAGAGCGCATAATGTAATTTCTACAATTATAGGGAGTAATTTATAATTTAAGTAAATTTTAAGGGACGTGTTTGTAATTTATTCTAAAAAAATTTAATAAAAATAAAAAAAATACAAAAAATAAAAAAATTTATAATTTAAGTAAATCTTAAGGGACGTGTTTGTAATTTATTTTAAAAAAATTTAATAAAAATAAAAAAAATACAAAAAATAAAAAAATAGCTTTTTCTTAAATTTTTTTTCAAAAAACTAAAAACAAACATGATGATTGCTATCTCTACAATTTTGTTCTTCGGCCAAATTCTTAGTCCACAAGCACATCTGCTAGCCCCTATCCAAATTGCCCGTTACCCAATACTAGCCACCAACCTCTCTTTTTCTCTTTTTACACTATTTTTCTCTTTCAATGGGCTATCTCTGCCACGGTCACCACCATCATCACCCATAATCTATTTCTAGTTTTGTAAGTCGCACCTTCAACTACACCTGTACTCGAATTGTTCACCCCTTCATGTCTTTTTCCTTTTCTCTTTTTCTTTTTTTTTGTTGTATAGTTGCACCTTTATATTTTTCTATCTCCTTCAATAGCCATTACGGGAGAGAGTTGTAATATAGTTATATGATAGGGTTCATCGATGTATTATAATTTGGTGATGGTAGATTTTGGTAATTAGTTATGTTTTTGCACTATCAGTGATTTAAGAATAGTACTACATCATCTAATGAGAAAAATAGAGAATTAATAAGAACTACCGCTATCTTTCAATTTGCCTACAACTACTTAGATGTGTAGTGAAAATGGATAATGACTCGTGATAATAAGAGAGTGTTGGCCAGAGTGAAAATTTTGATAGGAAAAATGAGAAAGAGAATGATAATAAAGAAGAAAAATAGATGTTTGATTATTGGTAAAGAGTTGTTAAGGGGTATTTGGTTATCTGCATTAGGAAAAGTTAATTTTATTATTTTTTTAATTGTGTTTTGTAATTTAAGAATATTTTGATTATCATAATTTAAAATTGATTATGAATCATCACACCACCTCTTTACGCCTCTGTTTGGGAAGAAAAAATCCAGGCTTTTTTGGCTAAAATAGCCACAAAAAACAAAATAGGCTATTTTAACCACAAAAAACAAAACATCAAATACAACTCATAATCATTACAATCCTCTCTCACAAAAAAAGTCAAAAAAGCCAAAAAGCCAAAAAGCCCTTCCCAAACCAGGCTAAAATAGCCCAGGCTAAAATAGCCAAAAAGCCAAAAAGCCAAAAAGTCAACCCACTTCCCAAACGGAGGCTACTTTTTCATATGTATTTTCACAAAAAATTAATAAGTCAATAAAATAAATCATATCCAAACTAGCTTAATATAAAAAGGATGTCATTTTATATTATCAAGTAAAATAATGGAGGAGGTTACAATTTTAAAAACTAGAGTTGAGGTCCAGAAATTTCAAAAAAGCCATTGTGATTAAGTAGTTGTTTGAAATGTGTTATATAAGTGTAGAAATAAAATTACCCAACTCTTGAATAGTATAGACTTTATTAACTTTTTAATTTTTTTTGACTTTTTTAATTTAAGATAAATTACACTTACATCCTTTGAGCTTTGAGTTTAATACATATCGTTTTCTGACATTTGAGAAATTACACTAACCCCCTGTCATTGTAATTATTTAGACGGAATGAAAATATTAAACTTATGCACTCTTTTTTTTTCGTTTACTTTACTTTCTTTTTTTTTCCCATTTTCCTTTATTTTTTTTAATGTAATTTTCTTTATTTTTTTATTAGGAATTGTTACTTTTTATATAAATAGGAGATTTGTAAGATGAGACTATTAACTACAAGAGTAGAACTGTAATTTTCAAAATGTCAAAAAATAAATAATAATTAGACCAAATTTCAAAAGGTGTCAATGTAATTCACTCTTAAATTTATCTCAAACAAAACCTAAATAAATAAAATATTTAAAAAAAATTCAGCCAAATACAACAATTTTTGAGATATCGAAACCGGCAACACCCGGTAAAGATATGAGGTCCACCGGCTGACCAATACCCTACCCGGTTACCAGCTATAAATACAAGGCTCCGGATTGATATAGATTTCCCATCGCCGCCTCTATCATCCTCTCTCTGTCTTTCCTTTCCTTTCCTCGCCTCCTCTAAGATATTTCTCTTTCTTTCTCTCTCTCAATTGTTCCATAAGATGCTTCAAATCCTCACACTACATATACTTTCATACATATAAAAACGATCGATTTCAAATTTTTTTGCCGCTGCATCTCAATTTTCTCTCACCAATTCCCATAGATTTCTCGCTCTGATCGTCTTCAAAACCCTAGATCCCCAATCCCTTGTCACGATTTCCGTTCTTCAGATCTCAGCGCTCTTGTTCATCGTTCGATCTCTGTCAAACCTTTTCGGTATCCTTCTTTGTTCTTCGTGGGAATCTCTGATCGTCCATAGACTTCAAGATTTGATAGAGATCGTCGTTGTCGAAATACGCAAACCCATAAAACATAAGTTCTGATCTGTCCCGAGCTCTATTGTTTATCATCCAAAAACAGTAATTAATTCATAAAATCGAATTTCGTAAAAGGCGGTGAAGAGAGAGCTCGCAAGTAGATAACAACCCATCGATTGATTGAGGTCTTCATATAACCCAGAAAGATCTTTGTTGGGAATCGTTTTTTGTGTGTGTGTGTGTGTGGGGAAAAGGGTATTAGGTATTATAAATCGGAGTTTGTGTGAGAGGAGAAGAGTTTGGGGACATGGCGGATCAAGTGTTGGAAGGGAGCCAACCCGTGGATCTCTCCAAGCACCCGTCTGGCATCGTTCCTACTCTTCAGTGAGTTTCTCTTTCTCCCCCCCTCCTTTAATCCATTCATTTTCTTATCGACTGTGGAGCTGATCGACACAATATAGACGCACATAAATATACAGTTTTTGGGTTGGTTTGCATAGAGTGTTTTGTAGCCAAATTTTGTAAGCGTTGAGGTCCTGTTGTAATGGTATAATTTTTTCTAAAGGAAATAAGTAAACTGAAAGAAAGTTCATGTAAACAATTTTTTGCTCCGGATTGTAAATTTGGATGATATCTCGAATTTATAGAGGCTTTTTTGTTGCACAATTGCTTTAGCAGTTTGTTTTTAAATGTTTTATTTGTAATTACAAAGAAAAATATGCAATGCTTGGAAAGACCATGATTGGGTTTGAAATTCATTCCCTTTTAGAAGTTGGTACAAACTTGGGCTTATAGTTTTGTGTTACAAATGAATGGACACGAGGAGGATAAAAAAAATTGTATTCAATTTGCTTAATTTAAAGACAGGAAAGTTTGGGATGGATGCTTTCTTGTTAGAGTGTTTCATTTGCTCTTCTCATGAAGTGGATATGATTCTATCATTCAACATTTTGAGGAATTTTTTAAACCAAGGAGATTTTTTAATAGGGGATTTACACGGATACCTTCATGCCTATAAATTGTAAGGATGTCTTTTACATGCCCCTATCAATTTGTTACAGGCTATTGAATTGAAAAACTACTGAATACACATTCTCACAATAATTTTGAGTACTTGTTGCCTGAGCCATTTAAAAGTTGGGTTCACTGTATTGTGGGGATTAGGGTTTGAAATGTTGAACATAAACATAATTATTTGTTCTCAGCTAGGTGTTTATTGTCTTTTCTGTTCGGTTGAGCTGCCCTTACTTTATTGTACTGTCTTGCTAAGATACTGGCATACTTGGATTGTGAAAAATAATTGCTTTATTATGCATTCTAATTGTCATACGTCATTCCTTTCTAGGAATATTGTGTCAACAGTGAACCTCGATTGCAAGTTAGATCTCAAAGCCATTGCTTTGCAAGCTCGTAATGCCGAATACAATCCCAAGGTTTTGATACTGAACTTAACTGATTTGTGAAGTTCAATTGCATCTCCAAGTCTCTCTCTCCCTCTCTCTCCTCTCTCTCTCTCTCTCTCCCACCCTCTATGCCGGCACTCAAGCATTCACTTTTCTGAAGGGTGCATTTGTTTCACTTCTATAGTTTTCTGTGAAGGCGATTCCTTTATTATACCAGCCAGGTGCCGTTATCCTTTTTTGGATATTTGATTACTAACTTCTGTTCTTTTCTGCTCCTCTTTGCCTTTCCTTTTGACGCCCTGTAGCGTTTTGCTGCTGTTATTATGAGGATAAGGGATCCAAAGACGACAGCTTTGATTTTTGCCTCTGGGAAGATGGTAAGTTTTGTGAAGTTATTTGAAATCCTTCTCATAAACTACAGCATGATTTTGTGTTATCTATTGCTTTCAGAGTTGTCAGATTTATTGAATAGTTTAGAAATTTTATTGTGCCAAGGCTTGCTTACATTGGCGTTATCAGCTTTTCATGAAAACTTCTATGTTTCATGCTATTCGTTTCAACCTTTTTTAAGAAGTGATATTTGAATTTATTTGTGACCATTGTGTTGTTTCTTGGTATATTGCTTGAAGGCTTGTATAATATAGGCACATCAAATTCCGGGGATGGGAAATGGCTTAATCTTTGTTTCCTTGTGAAGATGGTGATTATTTATTTGTTGCATTGGGGTTGTTTTGGGGTTTTCAGGCTCCTATCAATCTGTTTGAGCACTAGACAAAATCACTGCTAAAGTTCTCTCTCCACTGAAAATATTTTCTCATCAAAAGTTGTCCATGCTGTATCAGGTTTGCACTGGTGCAAAGAGCGAACAACTTTCAAAACTGGCAGCAAGAAAGGTATACAATGATTTGAAATGCATTTAGCATGCAAATTAGTAAGTCTTAGTTGACCCCAAGTTATGGGACGAAGGCTTGTGGAGTTGGGTTGAAATGCAAATTTGTAAGTTTGATCAATCACCATAGCTGTAAAATTTAGGGTGAATTACACTAACGATCTCTATAATTTGGGACTTGAGAAAGGTATACAATGATTTGAAATGCATTTAGCATGCAAATTAGTAAGTCTTAGTTGACCCCAAGTTATGGGACAAAGGCTTGTGGAGTTGGGTTGAAATGCAAATTCGTAAGTTTGATCATCACCATAGCTATAAAATGTAGGACGAATTACATTAACGGTCTCTATAGTTTGGGGCTTGTGTCACTTTGGTCCCTAACTTTTCAATTGTGACATATTTAACCTTGAATTTGGAACCTTGTTTCAAATAAGGACAATTGAAGATACCATTGCTTAATTTTAAGAGTAAAATTGTCAATTTGATAAAATATAAACTAATTTGATAAAAATAAATGTCAAAAAAATATTTTTGAATTTTTAAAAATTATTTCTACCCACTAAAGATAAAATTATGTAAAATTGATAAATCTTGTGTACATTTATTTATTTCTTCATTTTTATCAAACTATTTATTATATGTTTGGATGATGATCTAGTTTTTATTTTCATTAAATTAATTTTTATTTTTTCAAAAGTCAAATATGGCAACAATTTTAATATCATTATTTAACCAATCCATTAAATCAAAAAAATTCAAAACTAAAAACATTTCATATATTAAATATATCAATTACATATTAAAATCCTAACAATCATCCATTACATGATTATTATCCAAACACATAAAAATTAATTTGATAAAAAAAAAATAATAAATATCTAAAAGATTTATCAATTTTACATAATTTTATCTTTAGTGGGTAGAAATAATTTTTAAAAATTCAAAAATATTTTTTTGACATTTATTTTTATCAAATTAGTTTATTTTTTATCAAATTGACAATTTTGTCCTTGAAAAATCCAATGATATCTTCAATTATCCTTATTTGGGATAAGATTTAAAATTCAAAGTCAAATGTGTCACAATTGAAAAATCAAAGACTAAAATGATGCAAGTCTCAAAATATAGGGACCGTTGGTATAATTCACCCTATTTTTTATTTTGAGAGTTTGTGTCTAATTATTTGGTGCAATTTCTGTTTATATTAAGTAAAATAGTTTAAATAACTTAAAAAATAATAATTATCTAAAAATTAAAAAAATACGTGTTTTTAACTTTTCTTTTCTAATTATTAATTATTAACTCTTAATAAATTACACCAAACAGAGCTATTGATGCTAAGCTTGGGGAACTGACTTCTTAGACCATCTCCAACGATTCACCAAAGTTGACATCAAATTTAAATTTTGATGAAAAAGTTATTGTTTGGTGCTCCAACGGTTGCACCAAATCGATATCAAATTGAGATTTCACCTAACAATTCATCAAACTAAGAACAACATATAGATTTCACCAAAACGCTGTGTGTGACCGTTGGAGGGAGGAACCGGTGCACCATTTAAGCCACTAGTTCGTTTGAATCCTCAACTGGTTAGTTTGAACTGGTTTGTTTGAACTGCTGCCTCACGTGACCGTTGGAGAGCAACCGGTCAACCACCCGGTTGACTAGCCGGTTGACCAACTGGTCAATCGGGTTGGGCAATTCGGCTACAGTGCACAACTAGCAAGAACAGGTTTGAACTGGTTGGTTTCAACTTGTTTGAGCTGGTTTATTTGGACATAGGTTAATTTGTGGATTATGAATAATTTGAAGGGTGATATAAATTTAAATTCCCTATATATTTGACATACATATTTCACAACTAGCCGTTACAATAATTTACCGTTAGATGGACAGAGTATTTTGAAAACTTATCGTTGATGATGTGCTCTATAAAATAGATCTGATTTCTATATCGAGCTGACAGAGTATTTTATTTTCAGAATAGCATTTATATGTTGTGAATTTGTTTTCTTTTGTGTCATTAGATATTTGTTTCCCTTGAAATTTTAATTAATATTATCTGATTAAATTATTTGATTCTGAGTTTGAGCTTTATATCATTACAATATTTTTCAGTAAGTGTATTGTATTTTTTCTAAACTATGGAAGATTTCGAAATGTTTGAGGAATCACAAATGTTTGAGCACAACACTCATATTAATTTTATGTCGGAATCTTCACGAGAGCAGAACACGCAGAACAGTGATAATCATTTTATTTCAGAAACTTCTCGTGTTTCTCATGGTAAAGCGTTCACAATTATAGAAGATGAAACTTTATGTAGATCTTGGTTAGCAGTCTCTCAAGATCCCATTACTGGTAATACCGCTTTAGTGGCTATATTTTGGGAACGAGTACTTGTTAATTTTAATTCACAATTGAGCAGTGAATCAAATCGAAATCGTATTTCTTTGACTCACCGTTGGTCTGCCATGCAAAAGGCAATTAATAAATTCTGTGGTTTTCTTGAATAAATTCAACTGAGGCAACAAAGTGGAACAACTGAGGCAGATATGGTAAAATTTATTTGTGTTATTAAATATCAATTTTCTTTTTTAAATGTATACTTGTTATTGAAATCTTTGTAATTTTTTTTTGT